ACCAAGGACCCCTCATGTCAACCCTGAGGTAAAAATATTCTTCTTTATTGGTTGGTCTGCAGAGTTTCTTCAATATTAAGATGAGAAACATGAGGTGCTGCTTTACACTGAGTAAGACCCTCGCTCGAACTAGCCCTATATTGGCTACACTGATCAAGAGCTGGTATCCACAGTGCCACACAGTCATTTTCCCAGCTGTGCCTAAAATGTCAGGAACCACATGCATTCACAAACTATTGTCCACCTGTGAGCTATGGACATACTAACAGCATGGACTTTGTTCAGAGGCAAGGTAAATCCAGCTGTCTGTAGATGTCTCTATAACAACTCTGAAAAGGCACAGACCCGATAATATATCCGTTTACTTGCTGTAGCTCTTCTACCACCAAGCTATTAAAGCAAGATGACAAATAAACAGTGCCAGATTAAAATGAGAAGCTACAAGAGGGTTATTCAGAAGACCATCATCTTAGCAACCTAATACAATGCTTTTGTGCACCTGCTACTTAAGGATCCTTGCGGTAGTTTCTTCCACACATAAATAAAATTTTATTTCCAAAAAAATCTAAAGGACAGATAGGAGTCATAATACAAACATATTATAATGCACCAGTGTTGTGTCCCCAAAACCCCATAACATAAATAATTAGAACTTCTGGGGAACAGGAGATGATTTTTATTCAAGCAATCAATAAGGTTGACACAATCAATCAACTACCATCAAGCCTTCATCAAGAGATGATGAGGCATTTCTCCTTGCTTTTCCTTTTTTTTTTTAAAGAGAGACAGAGAACTTGCAAAGGAAATCAAATAAATGTATATCCAGGGAACAGGGTGGGAGGAAAACCCAATCCTGTTCAAAAGTGTTCCTTGGCTCAATTCATGCACTGTGATGAGCCTTTTTTTAAAAAAAAAAAAAAAAGTACATCGTTTATAACCACAACTAAGAACATATAGCATACAAAAGCATATTGTGGCTTACCCTCCAACCAAACTATGCTAAGTCGTGCCAAAAGATATTGTGACTCAAAAAGATGGATGAGGAAGAATGAGGGTCACCGACCTGAATCGCAGGGCCTTTTCACACACCACTATTCCACATGGAGATTAAGACCTTGCTTAAAATTGTCCATCCAATCCATAGGAAAAACTCTTAAGCTCTCTTCAAAACCCACGAGGTGGTCTCATCTGATAGGCCCAACCTCCACACAAAATAGGAGAGAAGCAGGAATTCCAGGGCTGTGATTCAATTGAGAAATCAAAAATGCATTCCAGAAGGAAGCAATGTCGTAACAATTCTGCATTGAACAAAAGGGGGACATTCATATCCAGGGTTATGATAATACATTTGATTATACCAGGGTTTTGCAACCTCAGCAACTTTAAGCTGTGTGGCCTTCAACTCCCAGAATTCCTCAACCAGCGATACTAGTTGGGGAATTCTGGGAATTGAAGTCCACACAGCTTTAAGTTGCCAAGGCTGGACACCCCTGATCTACAAAATGCCATTTTTCTTTACAGGAAGAACATACCCCCACCACCACAAAAAAAAAAAAAAAAGCTGGCTGGGGAATTCTGGGAGTTGTCAGTTTAAAGTTGCCACTGGATTATAGATAATTGTTTTTTTTTATTATTTACATTCAGAAAACAATATTTACTTTTTCACCATGCTGCTGGTTATTTGGTCCCCATGGGCTAAGAGGGTGCCCCAAATAAATGCATATGCAGTAGGATCAGCTCTTCTTATTCAGTAAGTCAGATGAGAAACAGTTTCATTCAGTTAAAAACAGCCCTTGCCTGATAAGAGGTATTTATTATGGGATCAGACTTGTGAACTCTTTGCTTTCTATTGATGTTATTGTTCTACATCTGCTACTGATACATCAGCAGTAACGGGAGAGAAGGAAGGAGAGAGAAAAACCATTCCTTTTGGTAAGTAAAACACTCAAAGAGAGAAGGAAATCGGGCATTCAGCCGTTTAATAAAAGAAATGTTTATTCATTGGCAGCTTTATGTGAATGCCTGGGTAAGACAGGCCACATTGAAGAAATTTAATTACCAGTGTTTCAAACTGGTCCACCCATTTAATTTGCTTCAAATTAAAAACTGAATATTAAATTGCTCTCTCTCTCTCTCTCTCTCTCTCTCTCTCTCTTAAGTAACTTTAGTTATTTTAAGTTACTTTAGTTACTCACAAGCCAAGCTGCATTATTATCAGGATAAAGCTGTAATTTTTATGAATCTACTAATTCAGGGCCCACTCCTGGGCTGCCGAAGTGATGGGCGAGCACAGGAATCTTCATTTGCGCATGCATAAGGGTCATGACTAGAGTTTTAGTACTATGCAGCTTACTTCAGAAGCTGTAATTCCAACGTAGTGCCTACCATTCAACCTTGAGGGATTTAATTCTAAGCAAACACGGACGGAATTCTGCTGAAGGTTTTCAGAAGATGCATTCATAATATGTAGCAGAGATACCACAAAAATCTACATTTCTTCTCACAGGCCACCCCCTACAGAAATGTGACGGAATGCATGTCAATAGCTTAAGAAATCAAACCAAGGAAACTCAAAGATGCTTTTCAAAAAGCAGCTAAACTGTTTTTCTTTGAGGGAAACATTTTGCTTCTCATCCAAAAAGCTTCATCGGTTCTAGAAGCATCTTTGAGACAACTATGACCTGGGTTGCTGAGGCTCTTCACAAACAAATCAAGGAAAGCCTTTTTGTTTAACTGGAGTTTCCCTACATTTTAAATGGAATCTAGAATTCATGGTTAAGTTAAGTGAAGAGTTAAATAGTTATTTGTTTAACAGTTATTTGTTTTTTTTAAAAAAACACCAGCAACTTGAGTTTCAAACTGAGAAAAAACAAGCATAAAAATCCATCCTGTTGGGACTGTCACAGCTTGCTGCAAATTTAGAAATTATACGTTTCAAAGAGTTTATATCCCTTCTTTTGTATGTTAAAAAGGCATCACGGCTCTGTAATTTAAAGGCATGTTATGCTCTTCAATAACTCCATTGCAATAGCAATCCCCAGCTCAAACCGTTTTCTAGTATGCGAGAACAAGAGGGAAATGAAGCAAGTATTTAGCAGATCTTTAGCAGGAGACCTTTCAACATGTTGGATAAGAGACCTTATTTTGCATGAGGATCGTACAAATCCCCATCAAAAAAAATAGAATCAAAGCCCCAATCGAGGGCTAGACATGATGCTAGGTGAAAAACTATATCCCTAAAAATAAGCAAATGGATTCACACAAAATAATATCACTCATGAGCTCATCTGTCTTAAGAAAGGGTCAACAACAGAGGTGGTATTCAGCAGGTTCTAATCAGTTCTGGAGAACCAGTAGCTGAAATTTTGAGTAGTTCGGAGAACCAGCAAATACCACCTCTGACTGGCCCCACCCCCATCTCTTCTCTGCCTCTGGAGTCCCAACTGATCGGCTGGGTCTTCTTTTGTTGCCCTGAACAGTAGAACATAACTGGAAAGCAGGTTAGTGGGGTGGGGAGGGAATGGAGATTTTGCAGTAACCTTCCCCTGCCACACCCACCAAGCCATGCCCACCAAGCCATGCTATGCCCACCAAGTCACGCCCACGGAACTGGTAGTAAAAAATTTTGAATCCCACCACTGGTCAACAAGGCATCTACTAACCCTAGCACTTTGCTCTCCTCCCAATCCACAATTGCACCTCAAAATAAATTATTTTATTAAAACAGCCATCAACCTTGCAAGGTGTCCAAGATTCCCAAGATTCTAGCATCTCACCAGAGATCTCACAAGACTTCAACCTGCTTTCACCTCTGCTGAAATTTAGTGTTACATCTGACCATGGGCTGTCCCAGTCTGGCCTGCGGCAGCGAACAACATCACTGGGTGAGTGGGGCATCATCGCCATCAGAGTACGGGCCATCATTGGGGGTGGGACATTGGCAGGGGGGGGGGGGTGAGGCACCAGTAGTGGGGGATGGGGTGTCAGGGGCAGGATGACGCGATCACCATTTGCAACCTTCCCAGCTGGCTTCCAACAAGCAAAGTTAATGGGAGAAACTGGATTTGCTTAAGGATTGCATGCTTCATTTAACAACTGTAGTGATTTGCTCAACAGCCATCCCCCCAAAAAGTCATAAAATCATGCATGACCCACCTTGCTTAACAACAGAAATACCATTCAACAACTACTCTGCTTAGCAATAGGTCTTAATTGGGGTCAAGGACTGCCTGTAGAGAAACTCCCACCATCCAAACCATTTCACATTTTTAGGATGTATAAACATTTCAACAAAGGGAGATTTGCAGAGGTATCAAGCTATGAGAAAACAGTAACACAAAAGTAGATTATTATTTTTTTAGAGAGAACTGCAATCTAAACTCTAATTAAAATGAAGAAACACCCTATGCTTTCATCTGAATTCATGCACACCAAGTCCTATTTTGCATCATAAACCATGTGGATGCGGGGAGGGGAAGCGGGGGATGCTCAGAGACAAAACATCAATCTTGCAACATGGTTGCTCACCGGTCTATGTAAGCGATGAATATTTGGAAAATATACGACGTCAGAACTTTGTGGCATGGCTAAATTTAAAGAAATAAAGAGAAATTACCTGTTAGCCAGTGTTGTTTTTTTTTTTTTTAAATGACTTAGGAAAGGATTTGGAATTAGAGAAAGAATGTTCAGACATACTTGGAAAGATGGGCCTTTTCCACAGTAATTTTTTTTATGAAGAAAATCAAAACAATCCTCATGAATCAATGCATTCTGCTTTGAAAGAAGAGCCTTGGAAAAGCACCAGGGCAGCCACAAATTCTAATAAAAGCTCACCAAGGCACTTCTGTGAAAATCAAGTGAAGTGTTGAAAAAAAAAAAATAAGATTGTAAAAAAAACTGTCCGCCCAGAATAGTGACTTATGTCGAGTGTCAGGTAGATGAAGGAAGATGATAGGGCTGACAGGGGCATCCAGCAATGCTTCCCGAAACGGTCACCAATTTTTTTACTTATTTTATTTTATTTATTTGATTTATTTGATTTGCCAATTGTTTACAAGATAATAAGTATAAGTGTATACATAGTTGTGAATACATGAAATGGGTACATATAAGAAAAATAAAAGAAGAATAAGAGAAACAATAGGACAGGGACGGTAGGCACGTTGGTGCGCTTATGCACGCCCCCTACAGACCTCTTAGGAAAGGGGTGAGGTCAACAGTAGACAGTCTAAGGTTAAAGTTTTTGGGGTTTGGGGAAGAAACTACAGAGTCGGGTAGAGTATTCCAGACATTGACCACTCTATTGCTGAAGTCGTATTTCCTGCAATCAAGTTTGGTGCGGTTAACTTTGAGTTTGTATCTATTGTGTGCTCTTGTGTTGTTATGGTTGAAGCTGAAGTATTCATTGACAGGTAGGACATTGCAATGTATGATTTTATATACCATGCTTAAATCAGACCGAAGACGGCGTAATTCAAGGTTTTCTAGTTCTAGAATTTCAAGTCTGGTGGCATAAGGTATTCTACAACGAGTAGAGGAGTGGAGAACTCTTCTTGTGAAATATTTCTGGACTTTCTCAATTGTGCTAATATCAGATATGTAATGTGGGTTCCAGACTGATGAACTGTATTCGAGTATTGGTCTAGCAAATGTTTTGTATGCTCTGGTTAGTAGTGTGATATTACTTTAAATGGGATACATTTGAGTGCACTTAAAACAAATTCCCTGATTATTGTTACATCAAATGAAATCAAGTTTAGTTTTTGTGCTTAGGATGTGTGGAGCCTAACACACTTTTAACAGACAGTTGTGCCCCATGGAAAAATTGCCCATTCTTTACTGACAGAAATAGTTCTTTTTCGGTAGATTATTTTGAAGCAAACAAACCACACAGGAAGTCATACAGCTCACACATACAGGTAGTCCTCAGCTTATGATGTAATTGACCCTGGCAAGTAGGGTCATAAGTCACAATGGTCGTAAAGCAGGCCACCATGGGACTGGAGCTGTTTTCATGAACTTTCTTGGCTGCGGTTAAGCAAATGCGGCAGTTGTAAATCTAACACGGCTGTTCTAAAGTGAACATGGAGGCCATAAAAGAGAATGAAGAGGCTGTAAAATTAGCCCATTGGTTCACTATGGGTCAGTTTTCCATCAATCATACATTGCGGTCACATGACTGCAGGGGCACGGCAAATGGGTCCAATAGGTCACTCACGCCCTAGTCACTTCCCATCCCGACTATTGCAATGCGCTCTGGATGGGGCTGCCCTTGAAGAAGATCCGGAAGCTCCAGTTGGTGCAAAATGCAGCAGCTCGCATGGTTTTCTGCAGACCTTGGTGTGCACATGTATCAACTCTCCTGCAGGAGCTGCATTGGTTGCCAATTTGCTTCCGGGTGAAATTCAAAGTGCTGGTTGTCACCTTTAAAGCCCTCCCTGGCTTGGGACCAGGTTATCTGGGGGACCGTCACATCTACCCGACCCATTATAGCAGGGAGGCAGGGGATGTTACAGGTCCCGTCCCCTAGGGAGATACACCTGGTGGGACCCAGAAGAAGGACCTTCTCCATGGTGGCTCCCTCTCTCTGGAAGATCATTGCCCCAGAGATTAGAATGGCCATCTCTCTAATACTCTTCCAAAAGGCGCTGAAGACCTAGTTCTGCTAGCGGGCCTGGGGAACCCAGAGCGGGATGGAGCCCATCAAATGACTTGTATGATAGCAACAGCACTTAGATATATATACCGTTTTATAGTGCTTTACAGCCCTCTCTAAGCGGTTGATGTGTTGCCACTGGGGTGGGGTGGGGGGCTATTGTATTAATTTATTATTTGATTATTTTCTTCTATTAGTTTTATTTTTTTATATATGATATTTTTATATTCCTGTAAGCTGCCTTGAGTCGCCATGTATGAACAGGTGGCAATATACATTTTCTAAAATAAAAATAAATAAACCAGTAAGTAAATAAACAAATAAATAAAAAATTCTGTAAATGTTGGCCTCCTGCAAAATGCCCAAACTGTGATTACATTACAGGAAGGCAGGGGAGCACAACATCAAAACTTTAAAAAAAAAAATGAGTCATAACTCTCTTTGTGGAGGGTCTGTCCTAATTTTAAATTGTCACTAAGCAACCGGTGATATGTTGAGGACTACCTGTATACAAACCAGGAACAGCCCAGGTTTTTTCCCAGTTTCAGAGTTTTCATTTGCCTTTTTTTATTTATTTGTTTGTTTGTGAAAATCAAAGGGGGCGCTTTAAGTGGATTCCCCCTCCAACTGTTTCTGATTAAGCTTCAAAAACTAGGGCCTTCAGAATCTTTTGCATTCACTACTATTTTTTAAAAAAGAGGGTCAGAGCTGGTTAGACTCTCTGAGGCAGCTTTTCAAGGCAGGTAACTGCCAAGTGAGGGTTGTTTTTTTTCCCCAGAGCAGCCAATCAATCTGTCCAAGCCGAGCCCAGGGTGAGTTCAAACAGGTCTCTTTTTATTTGTGCAAAGGCTCACGGCATGCATACGCACTCAAAGTTGGATCTCGGTCAGATGTTACCCTACTCCGTCTCTGCCTGGACAAGCAGGCAGCAAAGTCAGCAGTTGGACAATTGTTGCTCTATAGAGCAAATATTGATCAAAATAAAAGGGGGTGTGTGTGAGAAATTTTGGGAAATGCACTAAACCAGGCAAGCCTTCCCATCAGAACAATGAGGCTGAATGTTCTTGCTTTATAATTTACGTCCCCTGTAAACGTTCTGTTACAGTTTTATTTCGTGATCTTTCTGTGTTGCCGTTGTTTGCTTTGCTCTACAAATTAAAGTTTAACTACTAAAAGCAGTGCGACTATTTCTTGTCCAACTCTTATCCCGATGAAATAATTTGTTTCATTTTGGGAGTGGAGGGTAATATCAGGCACAGAAGAGTAGGTCCACACATACCCTTCTCAACTAATGATGGGCACCTGCTTAAGAGTTAGATAAGGGTCAACAGCACAAAGGGGAGGTTGAACTTAGTTCTTTTGTGACTCTGTAAGGATTCTAGGCTGATGCCCCTTTTCACACCGCCTCCAGGTTCTGCCATCCCTTCTCCTGCTGGTACATACATTCACATATTGTATGATGGCTGGGGTAATGGAGGAGCGGAGGCGAGCTACAGCATTGCAAAGTGTGAAAACTTCTGCTTTATTTAAACCAATCAGCTTGAATTTAAGTTCAAAGTGCTTTGGATCATAACAGCATCTGAAATTGCTGTCAAACCCACTATATGATTTATCTGTACTTTGCGAGCAGGGAGAACTCACCTCCCGTGTAGTTTTCCATCTTTCCTTCAACAATGGCTTAACCCTAATAAGTTATTGTCTCAAGGCTGCTCATCATGTCTAACGAGTCCTGTCACAGAGTTAAGCCCAGTGATTTCAGCAAAATCAACTCTCGTATTTACAAAACGGCATATATTTACATACTGTAAAACAGGGAAGTGCACTGTTCCCGAATGAGGCTGAAAGGAGTGGGCTGGCTTTCCAAGTGTGAAAGCTTATCAATCCTTCCAAGTAAACATTGACAATAAATTGGTTTGTCCTCCAAATTGGGAACACGGAACAGAGAGAAGATTTTATTACAAAATAACAGCAAAATCAATTTCAAAAGCAAACAGATTCAACACCCATCTGGGCTACAGGAATTGCCAGGAACAGCCGCACAGCAGCTTCATGTTAGCACTGTAAGCTAACTTTTCTTGTATGTGGAACGAACCCCACAGCAGTTCTGCCATGAACTGTTAAAATATTGGCTCACTGAGTCAAGCAGCTGGAAATTTAAAAAAAAAAAAAAAAGTCGAGCAGTCTCTTTTTCCGCCAGCACATCTGTATTTCTTCCTGCGTGTCTCTTGGAAACTCGCAAGCCTTCCTCTTAAAACTGGCAAAGTCAAGAACAATCTTCGCCTCTTTGATCTGCAATCCTATTTATTTGGGGACAAGAGTTCCCACTGAAAACAACAGGATCTACTTCTCATCTCAAAAAGCCTATTGAGTATCGACTTAACCATACTTAGTAGGACTTACTTCCAAAGAACCAGGCATGGTAGAAGTTGTAAAATGTCACCATGATTATTAACATGCCTTCGCCTGCTATTTCTTTGTTCTTACTTCGTTTTTATGGTCTTTTTTGTAATTTTTAATGCATTTTTCAAAATAATTAATAGTGATAAAATGGTTTTAGGTATTCGATTTGTTTACACTTTGTTGAATGTTGCCCAGAGTCACTTGATCTGATGATGAGCCATGGAGGCGCAATGGTTAGAATGCAGTACTGCAGGCTACTTCTGCTGACTGCCGGCTGCCTGCAATTTGGAAATTCAAATCTCACCAAGCTCAAGGTTGACTCAGCCTTCCATCCTTCCGAGGTCAGTAAAATGAGGACCCAGATTGTTGGGGGGCAATAGGCTGACTCTGTAAACTGCTTAGAGAGGGCTGTAAAGCTCTATGAAGCGGTATAAAAGTCTAAGTGCTATTGCTATATAAATTGGAGGAATAAATAAAGTAAACAGAAAACAGTTTTCATCATGAAAATCTTTTCTCTGGACAGGAAAACTTTATTTTTTTTTTTTAAGTCAGGCTCTGTTGAAAAAAATAAGTAGTCCTTGATTTACGACCATTCATCCAGAGACCATTCAAAATTACAATGAGCTGAACAAAGAACTTAGCAGATCTTAATCAGAATACAGCTGGCACCCCTGCCTGAAGTCACCCTCATCCCTGAGGCAATCAATGTTCCAGTTAAGGATAAGGAGATCAGGGACTGTGTGAGGCAATTATGAGGGCACCTCACTTAACAACTGCCACAACTTACAGTCATAACGGGCAGGCTCCGATTTGGTCATACGTTGAGGACTACCTGTAGTTCAATCCTTCATCCCCGAAGCCAGCCTGACCCAATCTCTTGAACAGTTTGTATAGCTTGAAAAAAGCAGTCTTCAAGCTTTGGGCCATAAGATGCACCAACGTGGCTGAAGAGGCAAAACCGCCGAATATATAAGAGCATATGAATCTGCTTGAAAGCATGACAAGATTTTTTTTTTCCCCTTCAGATTCTTTAACTTTCACATTGGAAGCTCATCTTAGAGTCACCATGAATATGGCAAGGGAAGAAATGCTATTTTGCTCTTTAGTTGTTCCTTGGGGTCGCCTTAACAGGGAAAAAAAAACATAGTTATTTTTTTCCAGTAATGTAAGATGGGCCATTTTACTTGACACATGGATTAGGAAGAAATAGTTTGCTAAAAGCAGTTGAAAGCTCCTAAATGATTAACCAACTGCTCTTTCCAAAAATATTATTTAAGAACTCGATCTTTTATTTTTTTTAAGTAAAAAAATAGTTTTCTATAAAATTTGCGCAATGCAAATTATTCAGAATGCAATGGGAAACAGTTATTTATAAAGTCTAAGACTGTCCTGAAATCTTTCAGAGTTTTGTGAAAGTTTTTCTTTTCCCTCCCGCAAAAGCAACTTCTGTTTTTCTATCTCATCCTTCATGGTGATTACAAGCTTTTTAACGTTATTATTTTAAAAGAGTTTTTGAGTTTCCTTTATCATTTGCAAAACGAGGGAGGATCCAACAATTGCTGGTTTTTGTTAGACATTTTCCCATGTCTCTGAAGTTATCTTGGCACCAGAATTTCTTGATTTAACATCCCAGAAGAAGTTCCCAACATGATGTTTTCTTATATATTGAAGTAAAAGTAGTCCTTGACTTACATCCGCAATTCGGATTAGAATTTCTATTGTTAAGCGATTGTTAAATGAGTTGCACCCAATTTTAGGACCTTTTTTGCCAGAAGTGTTAAGCACATCACTGTACAATTATTCCCCAACTTACAACAGTTCACTTAGTGACCGTTACAAAGTTACAACGGCACTGAAAAAAGTGACTTATGACCATTTTTCAAATGCCCATTGCAACAACATGGTCACATGATTTACATTCAAATGCTTGACAACTGACTCACATTTATGATGGTTGCAGTGATTCAGTTAACAAATGTGGCAAGAAAAGTCGTAAAATGGGGCAAAACTCACTTAGCAACATAACTTTTGGGCTCAATTGCGGTCATAAGTTGAGGACTACCTGTAGTTCAGTGAATCATACAATTGTTCAACCAACCTGGCTTCCCACATTGACTCTGCTTGTTGGAAGCCAGCTGGTAAAAGGCTGCAAATGATGATCACGTGACCCAGGAATACTGCAGCCGTCGTAAATGCACACCAACTGCCGGAATTCTGATCACATGACCGTGGGGATATGCTGCGACGGTCATAGGTGCAAGGACCAGTTTTAAGCAATTTTTTTCAGTGCGTTTGTAACTTCCAGTGGTCGCTAAAGAAATGATTGTATGTCGAGGACTACCGGTAACAGTACAGGAATAAGTGAGGCTTAGATTCTGAAGAAAAAACTGGAGGACGCAAGGACACTCAGATAAATCCCAGAGAATGAAGGATCGCAAAGATTATTCTTCTTTTTGGTGGGGTGAAGATAAATGTTCTTTTACCCAACTTTAATGAGAATAGTTTAAAATGCAGAAGGAACATGTTCTGACCCAACCCTGTTACCAGCAAGAAAATCTCAAACAAACGCAGCAACTCAAACCTTCACAGCTTTAATCTACAAATAAACTTCTTTGTAGATAAAAGATGGCTTGCAGCCGATTAGTCCAACCAGAAAAGCCTTGACAGAATTCTTCAAATAAGCCAGTATCTCTACACACGATGCTGGGTTCTTAGGAGTGTTTTTGCCTTCTGCAAAGGCAAAAACCTTTTGCAACTAGGCTTGTATTGTTGGAGGGAGGGGCCATTACATTGCATCCTTACTCCCGAGTCGCCTGTGCTGCTCCAGCTGTTCTCTTCTACGAATCATCCTGTGCTCATGCGCACTTGGCACAGGCTCCTTGGGAACCTCCTCATCACTGCTGCCAGGCCCCACAATCCCTGAAGGCAGCAGTCCACTCCCTGATGGTCCCAGCCCTTCATCAGAGTCCTCGCTCTCCTCCACTGTCTGCACCTGCTGCCGGCTAACTACAACAGAACAGTAGAAAATACATTTTACAAACCGATTCAAATAATTTGGATGATTTACAGTGCCTTCCATTTTTCTACGAAAGAACCTCTTGTAATTTCATCAGCTGTTCCTTCACCCAAGGTATTCACATTTCCAGTAAGAAGCATAAATGCCCATCTTTTTCACTGGTCATATCGACATATTTCCTTTCTTTTTCTTTTCCTTGTTTGTTTTATTGTTCTATTATTTTACTTTCGCTTTATTTAAACTTCCTTTTTATTTGTTTGTTGTTTGTGTGGTTGTGATCCACCTTAGTCCATGATAAGATAGGTGGAAAATAAATTTAATAATAGTAATAATAATAGTGGCAGGCAAGCACTAATAATATGTATTATTTAAGGGGCACTGCTTGGCATAAAATTCAGATGTTGTACTAGAAAATTTAGAGGCTAATTATTGCTAACAAACACATAGCAAATTACTATAAAAATAATTTCAGAACTTTGAAAAATTCCTACTTACTAGATTTACCAGTAGAGTTCCCAAACCATCTTTAAAGGCATTGCCACCCATGGCCACTGGAAAAATTAAACATCACTTCTCAGTTTAACTTTCATGACAGATTAAAATGCTCAGCATTCAGGTGACTTTAGGTTGCCTTGGCTGCAGATGACGTCAAGATGTTTACAGTCCAAAATATTCATCATAAAAACAGTTTCAAACAATTCAGGACCAGTAGCACATGTACATTACAATGGAATATAATAAATCTGTCAATATTTCTTCACAGCACCACACTTTGAACCAGTGGAGGTTCGAAGTCTTCTGGAAAAACCAGTTTTCATATGTCTCCCAAAAGCCACAAAGTAAGCAGTTGTTTTCGGCTCAAGAGGGAACAGCACCAGCCAGCAAGGAATGCCTACTTCTGAATGCCTTTCTGTTGGATCTCCCAGTATGGGGCTCTCATTTATACACGAGCAGATCCTACCTGGGACAGGTGATCTCAAGGATAACCAGATCCCAAGCCATGTAGGGCTTTGTAGAAAGCAACTGGGACATTAAATGGAAGCAAACAACCAATCAATGCAACTCTGTAGCAGTAATGCTAGACCTGTCCAAACTTTTAGCATACACTGCACAGGGAAGTTTTGGGATGTTCTTTATGGGCATGTCAAAATGAATAACAGTATAGGTAATCCTCAACTCATGATTGGTTGCTGAGCTATGATTGTTCAAAGTTATGACCACTGGACCATATTTCATTCTGCACTTAGTTCCGGTTTTCAGCAAAACCTATCCAAAGTGAACCATGGAAAGCGCTTAACGGCACCTTGTTCACTTACTGACCGCTGCAAAACAAGTTACAAAAGCCAGACTTATCTTTTCAGGGGCAGAATAGAGATTGCACTCCAAAAATGAGAACAGATAACCAGAAAGAAGTGGTAGCACACGATCAAAAGTAATACATTTGTTGTTTAATTAAAATGCAATTAATATAAATACCCTGTTTCTCCAACAATACGGCCTCCCCCAATAGGAAGTCCCAGCATGTTTTATAGGCATGAAATGAAATTAAGCCCCTCCCCCCAAATTAAGGCCTATATTAAAACATGCGAAATGGGGGGAATGGTGGGGGGGGGCTTGCCATTAGGAAGTACTTTTGTTGCACACCTGGATATGGTGCTGCCTGCGTTGACCCGATACGAAGTGCCCCACCAACGCTGAGGTCAACATCCAAGCCGTCACCGCCTGCCCGAAGATGCAAGGGGGGGGAATTAAGTCACCCCCGAAAAGACGGCCTAGACATTTTTTCGGGGCTCAAAAAAAAATAAGACCCGGCCTTATTATATGAGAAACACGGTAGAACAAGCCAAGTGGCAGGAGGCAACATGTAGCAGCTCAATGTTTGTTTGGTGGAGATCCAAATAAATAGCCCACCACCCATTTTCATTACACAACCAAAAATCTTCCTGGAATCAAAAGCTTGACTTGAGGACTTCTTCTCCTCTTAGCCACACTGGATGAAAATTAATAAAGCATGGTAGATCTTTGCAAATTTCAAATAAAAATTACAGTGGTACCTCAGTACTCACAGTTAATTGGTTCCAGGAAGCATGATGAGTACCAAAAATGATGAGTACCAAACGATTTTTTCCCATAAGAAATAATGTAATAAATCACAAGGCAGTCAACACTAACAAGTTCTACCTTGTGCGTTGAGTACCAAACAAACAATGAGTACTGGGACAAAATTTTCATGTCAGAATGTGCTGAATATCAAATTTGATGAGTTTCAAAGCAGTTGAGTACCAAGGTACCACTGCCCAGGTAGTCCTCAACTTACAACAGTTCGTTTAGTGAGCTTTTGTTGAATGTAGAATTCTTTATTGGCCAACTGTGATTGGACACACAAGGAATTTGTCTTGGTGCAAATGCTCTCAGTGTACATAAAAGAAAAGATACATTTGTCAAGAGTCAAGAATCATAAGGTCCAACACTTAATAATAGTCATAGGGTACAATAAGCAATCAAATCATACTAGGAAACAGTCAATATAGATCGTAAGGATACAAGTGACCAAGTTACAGTCATACAGTCACAAGTGGGAGAGGATGGGTGATAAGGAGTGATGAGAAGGTGAATAGTAGTAGTAGTGCAGACTTTGTAAATAATTGGACAGTGTTGAGGGAATTATTTGTTTAGCAGAGTGATGGCATGGGGGAAAAACTGTCCTTGTGTCTAGTTCTGGTGTTCAGCGCTCTATAGCTTCGTTTTGAGGGAAGGAGTTGAAATAGATTATATCTGGGATGTGAGGGGTCTGTAAATATTTTCACAGCCCTCTTTTTGACTCGTGCAGTATACAGGTCCTCCATTGAAGGCAGGTTGGTAGTAATTGTTTTTTCTGCAGTCCTAATTACTCTCTGAAGTCTGTGTCTGTCCTGTTGGGTTGCAGAACCAAACCAGACAGTTATAGAGACTGTCTGTTTTGGTTTTGACATTACAACAGCACTGGAAAAAGTGACTTACGATCATTTTTCATACTTATGACCATTGCAGCATCTCCACGATCATGTGATTTGCATTTGGATGCTTGACAACTGGTTTATATTTATGACGGTTGCAGTCTCCCGGGGTCAGGTGATCCCCTTTTGCGACCTTCTGACAAGCAAAGTCAACAGAGAAGCCAGATTCACTTAACAAACCGTGTTAATTAACAGCTTCAGCGATTCACTTAACAAATGCGGCGAGAAAAGTCGTAAAATGGGGCAAAACTCACTTAACAAATTTCTCACTTAGCAACATAAATTTTGACCTCAATTGGGGTCGTAAGTCGAGGACTTCCTGTACTAGCAAATAAGGGGTGGGGAGGTAGGACACATTTCTCACTAAATATTCCTACACCAAGGTTTCTACGAGAGCATGTAGAAAAGGAAAAATCAAGAATAAGCTAGTTTTTGTAAGCGGTCATATTAGTACTCCGTAGATTGAGGAATACCAATCCCCACCAGGTCCTCACACAGAAAATTGCAACGCATGTCATCAGTATCCCCATCCTAGGTGTTTACACAACTGACATAAACTCCTGCACACAGAGAGTTCCTTTCAGTTCAGCACTTTCAGAAGTGCCCGTATTTCACTTTGCACATCATTTAACAGCAGATGAAAGGCTGCACTGTATTTCAGCCTCTTCCACTCCAGGGCTTGTTTTCTTTAAACTGTCTTACGTTTTCTTATAAACGATGTTGTCATCTTACATGTTTTATGAACTATTTTGTCAGTTTATAAGCTGTGCCACCACTTTCACATTTTATGCCTTATCCATTTATACGTACACACACACACACACACACACACACTTTAACTTGAGTAGCGAGCAAAAGTATTCGAAACCTGGCTGTTCTTTTTAAAAGAATTAAGAACTGTTACTTTAAATCAGGGGTCTCTCCAAAGTTGGAAACTGTAAGGCTTGTGGACTTCAACTTCCAGAATTCATCAGCCAGTCGTGCAGAATGGTGCAAGTAGATATAATATATACTAGCTCGCTGTGGTAATAATATCTAACAATTTTTAGGACTTAAATTCAGCAAACTGCAGACGCCAGTTTTATGCATGAGAGGGAAGGAACATCAAAAAGGAATAAACAGATTTCAAAATTCATGGCAAACGTTGAGGCAAACCTTTTGCCTTTTCTTTTTGTCTTCAGCTTCACTGGTAACCATGAGAAGTGGCTAAATCTTATTTTCCTACTTTCTTAGATGCCACCTCCATGACAATGTTCAAAATGTAAGATCATTCAAACAGGAATCATACACTGTTGTAAAGAACCAAGTACATTCCTAAAATCACGAATGAGAGGGATTTCAAAATACATAAAAAGATTTTTTTAAAAAACAAGCCGGCGTCAATACTAGCATTCATAACTTCATAACCTCTACATGCTTTCTGAAAAACCGAATGAAATGTGAGAACATTTGTTCTAATTTCAGAATTACCAACATAATCCCAGTTAGGAGGAGTGACAGAAACAGGTAGAAATGAATCAATCTGCAAAGAACCGGGGTTCAAGAATATCAGGAACTGTCTCCAGATAGAGCAAATAACTGGCAGGAGCTAGTAAAGTGATAGAAATGGATTATCTTGAAGTGGCAAAAATTCCACTCAGGTATGGTGTTGAGTAGCAGTATGAGTAAACATACACAGGATGTGATGCGGTAGAAACATCTCCTGAACTTCTATACATAATCAGAATTATCTTAAGGGGTGGGTGACAAACATCTAAACTCCTGACTTATATGGTAGTTCCAGAACTGGCTGCTGTGCCATAGTAGCCAGTCAGCAGTATTCAGAATGATTCTGGGGAACTGAGAAGAACAAACAAGAGAGAATTGTTTGCTGAAACGTTAGCCAACTTTTTATTTATCTATTTAGTAGCCCAAGGCATAAGGACTGCACGGGAATCCAAAGCAACCTGTTCCTTCCAGACTAAGGGATCTTTTTTTTTTTAGTGAATGGGTGGAATATTTTTGTTTGACTCAGATGAGCTCAATGGACCTACAAGCTTGAAGATCCATTACAAGTAGTCCTTGACTTACCAACATTCATTTAATGACCGCTCAAAGTTATAACAGTACTGGAAAAAAGTGACATGACCATTTTTCACCCTTACAACTGTTGCAGCAGCCCCACGGTCACGTGATCAAAACTTGGATGGGTTTGTATTTATGACGGTTGCAGCATCCCAGGGTCAGGTGATCAACTTTCTGACAAAGTCAACGGGGAAGCCAGATTCACTTGGGTATTGCTCACTTAATGACTGCAATGATTCAATTAACAGCTGTGGCAAGAAAGGTCATAAAATGGGGCAAACCACTCATTTAACCACTGTCTCCATTTAGCAACAGATGTTTTGGGCTCAATTGTGGTCATAAGCTGAGGTCTGCCTGTACTGTTAGCACATGTAATTTGACAGACCACCATCGAAAGGTCTGGTTACCATTTAGAAAAGCAATACCTAGAGTTCAGGGGTGTCAAACTCGACTTCACTGAGGGCAGCATCAGGGCTGTATTTGACCTTGGGGAGAGGGAGGCAGGGGGTGTGGCCAGCTTGACGTCACTCGTGTCAGGCACCTGTGGTGGCCCAAGCACCCTCCCGAGCTCCGTTTTCGCTGGAGAGGGTTGCAGGAGGCTGTCACAGCCGAAAACGGAGATCATGGGGGACCGTGTGGCCCTCCCAAGATCCGTTTTTGCAGGCAAAAGGTTGCAGGAAGCTGTCACAACCGAAAACGGAGTTCGGGGGGGAACACGCAGCCCTTCGAGCTCCGTTTTTGCCAGCAGAGGCAACTCAGGCCAGTCTTTTGCTGCATCCAGGGTGGTCCCGTGGGGCAGATCCAAGCGCCCCGCAGGCCAGATCTGGCCCACAGGCCTTGAGTTTGACACCCCTGCTGTAGTTGAACAGAGAAGTTATCTCCCACCATTATTAGTGATCCTCGATTTATGGAAGGACTGCGGGTTCAATTTCCAATTAAAAAGAGTAATTGCCTAGCGTTGCATGCAAGACATTTATGGAGTATAATTTTGATATCCTCTTTAACATCTAGGGCAATGGGGTCATAATGGGCAAAAAACGAGTGAACCTCATTAATGTTATAAAGTCAACACCGCCATTTGCACATACGTCCAAAGTCCACGTTTTTATTTGTTGTTATGCACAATGAGTGTTTGTATGAACCTTATAAAGAAGTAGGACAGCTGGTTCTGGGGCAAGAATGTGGGATAGGACGACAGGAAGCATTTCAAATCTCTGCTTAGTAAAAGGTCTTGAGCATCGATGGTTGGTTTTTTTTAGTCATATCCTGGACTACATATCAAACCCACAAATACGTAGCCCAATCACAAAAACAGGTGGCCACTCTTATGGCCTGTGTTTTCCTTTCAAGCAATTAATTCCAGACATTTCTAGAAAGAAAAGCTCAAGTTCCATCGACTGAGAAGGGCATTTTGGCAGCCACTCAGCTCACGGATGACAGTATCAGGCTAAAACATAAAATAACCTAAAATGGTAAAAAGCAACTTCCTGTGGTCTCTGAATATCAAAGCCAAACTTTAAGGACAGGCAACAGTGATGGGCACTTTTCTGCTCCTCCTTATGTTTGTTTGTTTGTTATTTCCTGACCAGCACTTTTAGATAATAAGAACTTAGGGAGCTGTGATCCATATACACTGCATTCTCGAACTTCTGGAAGAGACCACATTTATTAATGATCATAAATAAATACCAACTTCCATCGACACAACATTCCCGGGCCGTCTCTTTGCAGTTGAAGAAATGTCAGATAAAATGAAGAAACTGGGGTGCTGCTTATATTCTGATCCATTCAGAGGCTAAGCATCTCACCACATCTCTTGAGACCTGGACAGCTTCTGATTCCCCCAGATTAACACAATCCAGTTTAAGCAATCAACAATCACTTAGTTGCAATCGCCAAGCTCGCAACCTCCTAAAATGGGAAATGTTGGAATCTCACAACACTGCTGGCAGGTTATATCTACACTAAATGCATGCCAGTTTGGGCAGATTTAACTATACTGGTGAATACCTTTGGGCAGGTGCCTTTTTAGATAACCAAGTTCCTCCATCTGACTCTTTAACAACAATATCAACCACAGAAACATGCATTCCACTCGGGCATCAAATTAGGTGAATCCAATGGGATTCATTCCAAGCCAATAACATTTGTGCTGGGTGACAGAAATGCTTTACTATTTTGTTCTACCTACTTTTTCAAAACTTTTTTTCTAAAAACTTCTTACTCATGAGGAAGCCGAGCTTCCAAATCCTTCAAGCCGTTTCGGTGTCAACCCGCTTTCCTTATCCTTGAAAACACTTGCACACATCTAGCATTAGTGAATAATGTGAGGGAGCCACTAACTGTCTGGGAATTTATGGATTCTTTTCCACCCTGAATCAGACACCAAAACTTAAAATTCTACAATATTTGAGTTATTCAAAAATAATAAGCACCACTTCTCAAAACATCTTTCTCTTGCCTAATAAATGAGCCTAATAATCTGTTTTTTATTTCTCAGTGTGTGTTTTTTATTTCGAAAGGTATTCAAATTCATAAATCTAAACAAAGCATTATACTTGTACAAGAGGTTCAATTTTTTTAAACTTCAAGTATTTTTTTACATTGTTAAAATGTTACTTTTTTTTACTCGTGTAATTATGTAAGATCGATCATAATAAAAGTGAATTTTTTAACACTAACTTTCATGTAAAACTTACTTCATGATTTCTTCAAGTACTTTTGTGTACTTACTTCATGATTTTCCTGGCGCTGTACATTCAAGGTTCAGGCCAGAGGTGTTCACATCATTTGACAAACTTTAAAAGGAAACACGTTTTTTAAAAATCTGCATCTTTCATTTCCCACTGTGGGTTTAATTTCAAATCATGATGTTCTTTTACAAGAATATGTAAAAGCACCTACTGTATTTTCATAACACTGTTCTCTACACAGGACAAGGGAGAACTATTGTAATGTCAAAGTTTTACAGTCCAGGGCAATCAAAAACTTTGACACAATTCACAAAGTACAGTAGTTCTTTTAAAATACAAAAAAGGAGTTTAAAACTTTGAAACAAAACTTTGTAAGTTTACATATTCCCAGGTTAAATGCAAACTACCATTTTCTTGTTTTCTTTTGGTAATATATATTTTATTTTGGAACCACCCAGTTTTCATTTCCAAACAACATTGTTCAAGTTGGCTGAATTAACTACAGAGATTTAAGATATCCTACAAGTTGAGAAATGGCACTGCTGAATAGCACTGTTGTTTAATGGCCCTAATTTAATTCCTGTTGCATAATTAGCTCCATATAGATGAATGGAAACCCAATTAGGGATACTGATTTTTCTTACCACATAAATTAAAATATATTGAGAAGTTTGTGTAAGCAAGTGATAGCAGCCAGACCCTTATTCTATACATGTATTTTTTAAAAATACATATGGTTGACATATTCATATAATAGCCATACTTTCACCCTCCCCCCTTGGTTTTAATTAGGAAAGTATGGTTTCATTTTTTTTTTATTTTCCCTCCCACAGTGGCACAAAGGAATATGACAAAGCATTGGGGACAGAATCCAAGTTTCAGGATCCATTTTTACTTGTGGTTTTTGCTCTTGAGAAATATGGTCAATATTCCTTCTTTTCCTTAAATTTATTAGTGTATTTGTGGCCAATTAAACCTCAAGCAACCTGCAGCAGACGAGACAAGCAATCTGAAAACAGTGTAAATTTAAACAATGCCAGCATTGAAGAGAGGAATATCTGCCAGCTGTTAAAAGTTTAATGTCACTGCCTTGAAAGGGAAGGGATTAAAATGAATTTTTGTAAATAATACCCAGTCAAATGGCATGCACCTTAATACATATGCAAATGTCCGGTTTCACTGATTTTACTGGACCTCCAAGAAACCTTGTTTAGAGCTACAGAATGTTCTCCTTTCTTCCCAATCCTTTACTATGAATTCCAATAAAACTTTATCTTTTCTAAAAAAAAAATGGAAGACACAAAACTTCTTCCATGGTATGTGATTAAAATTCTTTTCTTCTTCAAACTTAGCAAAAACTTCACATCTCCAAAATAACCACTGGAAATTCCTAGTACTGTTAAAGCATCCATTGAAGCATCATATTATCTGATATTATGAAGGCTAATTATTGTACTGCCCAGTGGAATTGAAATATTCACATTTAAAGATCTGTCCGATAGTAAATTGTAAGTTTCAATTCAACATTTTTCTAGGACTAAGATCTTGGCTCCTTAAAACAAAATTAAACAAGCAAGTTTTAAAAGGTGAAAAATAGCTTTAAAACGGAGTAGAGAAAATTAACTTGCAATATTGCATTTCTATATTGGCCTTTTGGAGCTTTTTGTCACAAAGAAATCCAATTTCTGGTTTCTTCAAGTTATGAAAAAAGTTTCTCTAACATCTCAACCATCCCAAACTCAAACAGAGACACCACAGAAGTTCCAGTCAGAAAATCCAGCTACATAAGCTGTTACAACCAACGGAAATCTAGCTATAACATGGTTAAGCGTGCAAAAAAGCAAACACCCCAAGTAACTGAGTTGTTGAAGGCCTTGTCATGAAAAAGATACAACTCGTTAGTACCCCTACATAAAACAGAGCTTAACTTTTTGCTTGCTTTGGATTCGTAAGACATCAGTTAGCTGCAGAATCAGCACCAGCCTTTCAAAAACAAGTCCTTTTCCTTTAAAACATACAGAGACCTTTTTTGCTGATAAATTCTTCTCTCAAATAATTCTCAGAGAGGGATGATATTTAAAGTTACGCAAGAGAGCTATCACAAGCTCACAAGCAATTTACACAGAAGGATGGAAAAAAATAGAAATGCTTTTAACTCAGACTGGGATAGGGGGTCTTCAAACGGTGGGGTCAGCACCTCCACCTGGAAGAGGGGTCCTGATCCACTTCTAAAGTGGTCTCAACATTTATTTTTTTAAAAAAGAAAAACACTACCCCCTATGCATGCCTGGCCTTTTGCGATTTAATCAACCCAATGAAATTATGAATTTTCCTCATAGGGGGCTGCACCTAGTGCGGGGGGGGGGGGAGCAAATCTACTACCAAGTCTGAAAACTCTACCCCTACCGGACGCAACTCCTGAGAAAGCAAGTGATCCGGTATACTTCGAAGGTACTAAGAAAGCATTTGCTGGCTGAATTACCCTACTTTTTTCCAATGGTCACTTAAGTTCCCATCTTTAGGACTGCAAATCGGGTCTTCCGCCGAATGGTTTCGAACTGGAAAGGAAAGCAACGAGGGGAGTCCGGGGCTTTAAGGGATGGAAGGGACGAGGGGTCGCCGTTCGCTCCTTCGGAATTTTGGCGAGTTTTTCATTGGCGGATCCTCCGGGTCGCTTCCCCTTTTCAAGGGAGAAGAGAGAAAAAGAAAGAAAAAAGCGGCGGCGGCGGCCAACTTTGTTGCCTCGGCGCGGATTTTTTGCAAACTCTCCCCAGCCGGGCGCCGACTTCAGCTTGCTGCCCGCGCCTTTCTCCGCAGCGCCCCAGCTTACCTGCTCGCGAGGGATGCAGGGCAGAGAGGTCCTCCGGTGGCTCTTGCCGCCGCAACCTGCCATCTCGGCGGAGATCACGGAGCTGGACCGCCGCCTCCTCTTCAAGCCCGCCGCGTCTTCTTTGGCCGGCCGGGCGTCAGCAGCGGCAGCGGCGGCGGCGGAGTCGGCTCCTTCCGCTCCTGCTCGGCTCTTCTCCTCCTCCCGCTTTCCGGAGGGGCGGCCCGACGAGGCGTGCCGAGCGCAGCTGGCCAGAAGGATGCCCAGCAAAGCCAGGAGATAAGCCAGGTGAGGTCTCCACGGCGGCCGGACGCCCTCCAAGAAGACGAGCGAGGTGAGGCGGAGCGCGCTAGTCAAGGCCAGCATGAGGACGCCGTGGCGGAACCGGGGCAGAAGCAGCCATGCCCAGCCGGCCAGGCTGCTCAGCCCCAAGCCGGCGGCGGCGGCGGAGAGCAAGCGATCTTCCCTCGGTGCCGAGCCGACGAGCGCTTCCCCGCCGCAGCAGCAGACGGCCAGGAGCAGGACGGCGGTGCGCAAGCGGAGCCCGGCGCGCAGCAGCTCCAGTCCCAGCCAGAAGTAGGCGGCCAGGAGGAGGCAGCAGCAGCACAGCGCCGGGCCGGGCGGCGGGGACCAGCTGGGCTCACCTGGGGGGAGCCCTTCGCCCGCTTCTTCTCGATCTCGACCTCGGACGTCCGGCCCCAGGCGGGTCCCCAAAGCCAGGAGCAGCGCCACCGACCCGGCGCCCAAAACCCAGGGAAGTTTGTTTCTTTGACAAGTCCGGGGCGACGCGCTCTCGCCGCTGAAGGAGCCTCCTTCCCGCCGGTTGCTGCTGCTGCTTTGCTTCACTTCCTTCGGGCCGGCTAAGGAGCAGCAGCCGTTGCAACGGGCTCCGAAGGCTCCCTCTTCCGCCGCTGCTGTCGCGGCGACCGTTGCCGAGGCGGGCTCGTCCTCCCGCGGGCTCCAACCGGCCCGAGTGGGGATCGCGCTGGCCGAGTCACCGCTCGCGGCCATCGCGAGGGATCCTTTTTTTTTCCCTCCCTCCCTCTCGGGGAGGGGGGAAGGGGGCAAGATTTAAAGCGAGATCGACCCCCCCCCTTCCTTAAGTCTCCTTCCAATAATAAAGCGGCGGCTTTGCGCGGGAAGGAATTGCCAAAAAGGGGTTGGGGGGGAGGGGAGTCCAGCCGTTTGCAACGTTGCTCGGAAGAGTTGGGGGGTTCGAAGTTGGAGCGGGCGGGGGATATTTTAGCAGGCGCGGGAATCGGAGTTACTGCGGTTCTGATCGAAGGGCTTGGAAATCCGTATTTCCAGGTTCCCCCCCAAATAAAAAAGAGGATAAGAAAGATAAACCCAACACCTTAAGTCTTGCAAAAGCCTTGCCCTGCCAATTCCAAAATCAGAAACTGAAGCCGCGGAAAGGCGTCCGGGTTGCCGGGCGATGTTGCGGTCCCGGCCCCGCGCTCTGGCTTCTGCACCCGATCCTCTGCCCTGGCTCTGCGCGCTTCTCTCATGCCGCCTTTCTGCTCCGGCGATCCTTCCCGGCGAGGCCTGAGCGCCCAGGCGCTGCCGGGCGCCCCCCCACTCCCTAGCTGAGGAGGGGGAGAGAGGGCATCAGCACCTCGTGGCCGAATCGCACTGGGAGGAAAAAAGGAAGCGGACGCTCCGAAGGCGCCCGGCGAACAAGTTGCGAAGTTTTCGATCCTGCAAGAACGCGGCAACCGAAACACTCGAGAAAGTCGACCCGGAGGGGACGGGGCAGGTGGGGGGGGGGGTCCCAGGAATGTGGATCGTTGGAGGGGAAAAGGCAGGTGGGAGCCCAAGGGCGCGCCAGCCCGGGATCTACTTTGGAGGCCACCGCCGGCGAGCTTCCAGCCTCCGCTCTTCTCGGCGCGCCGGTGATGAGGAACTGAGCCGGACGGCCGAGCCAGAGATGCCGAAGAGCCAATCAATTTTCCCGTTGGCTAACACCTCCGCCGCAGGCGCCGGTCCAGCCGCCGTATCCTGGCTGGGAGGCTGGGCTGGGGGGCTCCTTGCACGCGCGCGCGTGCACGCAGCCAGGTGTGCTCGCTTGATCGCCTTCTGCAAGTAGAGTCTCCAGGCTGTCTACAGTAGGCAGGCTACGAAACCCAGGAAAACAATACACAATGAAATGAGATGGAGTTGTGAACAAAGGAAAGGCAGTTGCTATCTCAGTGGCTTCGCCGGACACCCAATTTGCAGCGGCCACTGAGCCTTTGGGGCACTGCGAACCTCTTTGTGGGTCAGATCCCAAGGAACTCCAGGGACTTCCTTCTGAGTAGAAGAATAGGATGGGATCATGCGGTCAGCCCATTGACTGCAGTGAAATTTTGCACATTCAGCTTCCAGTCGGTCACCCCTGTTAAGTGACTGGATTTTTGTGATGTGTACCCAAAAAGCACCCCTGTCTTGTTTAGCCTAATGTGTTGGGTGAGCCTAGCCAGGAAATCATTTTGACTCTTCTCTCAGGCTGTAAAAAAATAAAAAGCTCTGACACTAGCTGTCTGCTCAACAGATAGAATCAGAGTTTGTTAAATAATTCAGACTTGCTCAACTTGACAAAGTGCACTAAACTATGGATCCTCGTTTCCAAGGAATCGGTGCTCTGTTCACATAACATACTTAAGCCAAAATCAAGCCATATGACACCATCCAGCCATATGAAACTAGTGGGTTTCATGGACTCTGGGATGCAATACACCTCAATTTTAAATCTGGAACAAGAATTCTGACATTGATTTTGTACGGCTTAAACATAGGTGCCCCCAAAATGCAGTTACCTAGGTAGTACCTAATACAAATTTAGAGATTCTTCTGTTCTACTTCGAAGAACTTTGAGCTTTGCAACACAGTAAACCATAAACCATAGATTATTTTCTAGATTTGCAAAACACACTGAACTACTGAATTAGTTTTTAGGACAATTACAGTTTTATCTCACTTGTGGGAACCCAACCCGCTTTGCACACTAAGCAACAAGTTGTGTTTCACAGATAACTAGTGAAGCCAAGCATACTGCCAGTGACTTAAACAGTGTGGTATCTGAAAGCTAAGAAGCTGGGATTAATTCAGACAAACTAGAAACACCCATTTATTTTAATCTGTGAGGGTTTTCCCCCCACTTCCATTCAATTGTGTCCAATCCTTGGACAAGTCCCTGCATTTTTCTTTGCAAGTTTTTTTCAGAAGCAGTTTGCCATTGCTTTCTTCCTAGGGCTGAGATAAAATGACTGGCACAAGACAAAACCTATCCCTATCAGACCAGACATATGCATCATTAATAAATATATTTGCTTTTTTGGTGATAAAATTTCCAATGAAATAAAGGACAGGAGATATTCTTCATGTCTTAGGTGTCTGGGGCATGTATACATGGATGAACTTTTCCTGCAAATCACTAAACACACATCCCTTTGTTATCTGAGCATGAAAACCTCACAACCAAAGTCTACGTCAGTGCTGTGCAGTTGTATATTTAGCAAGCAGTGAGAGAAAAAAGTGTTTGCCAGCATGGGAACACTAAAAGCTAAATGCCTTTCCATCCCACAAAATAGGCCAGTGGTTTGAGCAATGTTAAGTTCTTAATATTTATTTGTGTCTGACTTGAGTTTTATGCTGTGTTCACTGTCTGACCTTTTGGGTTTAAAGGGACTAGAGAGATGCACGTAACTATTACGAACGTAGGAGTTTCAAATAGAACTTACAGAATTGGTAGATACAGTGATGATGAAACGTCTTTGGATCCTAGTTCAACCAATGTGGCTGGCCAGAAGAAGTACTTGTAAAGCAAATACACTTAAAACCTTCTCAACTTCCAAATGTGAACAAAACAGTGCCTTATTAATCTGGTACGATCCTGTGCAGAGAACAGATTTAACAGATTTAACAGATAATCAGAGTTGGAAGGGACCTTGTAGGTCATCTAATCCAACCCCCTGCCCAAGCAGGAGACCCTACATCATTTCTAACAAATGGTAGTCCAATCTCTTCTTGAAAGTCTCAAGTGATGGCACTCCCACAACTTCTGAGGGCAAGCTGTTCCATTGGTTGATTGTTCTCACTGTCAGAAAGTTTCTCCTTATTTCCAGGTTGAATCTCTCCTTGTTCAGTTTCCATCCATTATTCCTTGTCTGGCCTTCGGGTGCTTTAGAAAATAGCTTGACCCCTTCCTCCCTGTGGCAGCCCTTCAAATATTGGAAGACCACTATCATGTCTCCCCTGGTCCTTCTTTTTACTAGACTAGCCAAGCCGAGTTTCTGCAACCGTTCGTTGTATGTTTTAGCCTCCAGTGCCCTAATCATCCTGCTTGCTCTTCTCTGTACTTTTTCTAGATCTCAACATCTTTTTTATAATGTGGTGAACAAAACTTTTGGTTTTTCTTGCCTAAGAGTAGGACTTTACTTTTGTCTACATTGAATTTCATTTTGTTAGATATGTCCCAGTGTTCTAGTCTGTCAAGATCCATCTGGATCTTGAGCCTATCTTCTTGGGTGTTAGCTATTCCTGACAGCTTAGTATCATCTGCAAATTTGGTAAGTTCCCCTTCTATTCCCTCATCTAAGTCATTAATGAAGATATTGAAGAGGAGTACTGGGCCTAAGATGGAACCTTGTGGCACCCCACTGTTTACTTCCCTCCATGTAGACTTAGACCCATTAAGGACTACTCGTTGAGTACGGTTTGCCAGCCAGTTGCGAATCCATCTTGTGGTAGTGCTATCTATTCCACTTTTTTCTAGCTTACTAAGAAGTAGGTTGTGGTCTACTTTGTCAAATGCCTTGCTGAAATCTAAATATATTATGTCCACAGTATTTTGCTGGTCTACTAATTTAGATCCACTTGGTCCAGAAATGGTCTTTAATTCCTCTTCTAGATACCAGCATAATTTTTTTCAAATGTGGCATGAACCAGTCTAATATCATGTATGCCCTGTTGGACAATTCAGTGGGGAATAATAATACAATCTGAACTTTGGGAAATTCTTCCTCACCCACCAATATGTGACTTATTTTCCCTGCCTACCCTCAGCTAAGCATCAACAGGAGATAGTGGAATGCATTTGACAAAGCACTTCTGTGGGCATAGGTGTTCATCTTTTTTAGTTGCTGGCATAAATAAATAATGCATGAAATAAAATGGCCTTGTACTTGTCCTTATAGAAACAAACAGCCATGAATTAAGTGGAAAATTAGTCTGGGAGGGAGGAGGAGAGAATTGCTCAAAAGAATTTAAATCTGCTGATATAGGTGGTAGAAAATTCTGCTGAAAATTCTGCTGACTCCATAGCAGCAAGCCATAAATCAAATTTGAGCATAATTCGTCTCTTTTAGATAATCAACTTTGGCCAAATGTACACACTGATATTCAATAAAATTCAAGAATTGCACATTGGTCCATGCTGATCAATAGGCCACAATTTGCCAACAATGATAGCAGAATTGCCGTATCATACAAATGCAAAATAATACTGATATGACATTCTTCTTATACGCATATGACCATTCTGTTCCTAGAACCGAAATAGAGTGACTACAGGTAGTCCTTGACTTACAACCACAATTGGGGCCAGAATGTTCATTCCTAAGCAAGATAGTTGTTAAGGGAGCTGTACTCATCTGTAGGAACTATTTTGCCATTGTTGTTTTAGCAAATCACTGCAGTTAAGTGAATCGCAGAGTCATTATACAAATCTGGCTTTCCCAATTGACTTTTTTCAATGTCATTGTAACTTTGGTCACTAAAAAAATGCTTCTAAGTCAAGTACCTGCAACCCATTTGACTTTATGTCTAAAGTGGGACAAGAACTCATGATCCACATTTTGTAGCCTGCAGATTTAACACTACCCCAAACTGGCTCTCAAATTTTCTTAGAAGCACCCAAAGTGATAGCTTCATTTGGACTGGCTTTAAGAATTAGACATTACTCTGCGCGGTTTCGATCCATGCTCGCCGCTGGAGTGCCCTGAGCCAGCTGGTTTCGGGGCTAAGCCACCCCGTAGAGGTGGTGAAGAGAGGGGAGACTGCCTGCAGGGTTGAGGAGAGCCGCATCTCTCCTCCTCAGCTGGCCATTACTCCCTTTCCCGAAGGCGGTTGCAACGGTGGTCAGAAATGGCCACCCCAAAGAAGAACTCGACTGGAAAAGAATGTGCAGGAGGAAGATAAAAAGAGAAAGTTTTGGTTGACCGGGTCAAATAGCAAAAGCAATAAATAAGGTACCCTGGAATTTAAACTATTAAAAAAATAACACTGTTCCCAAAGAAGATTTTCAAGCAACGAAGGAGAGAGAAAAGGGAAAGGATTTGGGTATTTTTCTCTCCTCTTCCTTTCCCTATACTGACAGCTAAGAGACTTAAGCAAGAAATTGAAAAAAAAATCCACTTTGACATCAATAGGCATTTAAGCTGAAAATAAAATGTCAAAGGGATAATAAAGATTTCTGGATATTTAAAAGCTTTTGAAAGCAGGAAAGGAGAGAAAAAGAATAAAAGGGCAGGATCTGGAAGGAAGGAGACTGCCTGGAATTAAAAAGAACTTACAGTAAAATCTCAACAAGACTTCTAAAAGATACATTTTAACTGAAACATGGCAACAAAATAGTAAAACCTCAGGAAGAGAAAGTGAAAAAAGAAGTAAGAAGAAACAGCTCAGGAGTATTTTGATTACTTGGTGACTTCTGGATTTTTGGTTACTGCATTTGAATGATTAAAATCAATTGGGTGGTTGTTTAAAAGTGTTTAAAATGGCACCACTTTTAGAAGAACTGAAAACGGAACTTAAAAAGTACAAAGAAGATGCACAAGAAGGGAGAGGTTCTTTTGGCTTCGTATTTCAATTCTTAGAAATGGAGATTTGGAACTATGAGAATCAACAAGAAACGCCTGCAGAACAAGAAGACTGGGACAAAGAAGAAGCCATCTTTAATGAACAAGTAATTTTATATGGGGGGGGGGGAAGGAAAGGGGGGAAAGAGAATGAAAAGTTTAAG